GCTGTCCTGCACTTAAAAAACACACACCTGTTTTGGGGTTTACTTGGTTTCAAGAAGCACTGTCTGATGTGAAACATGCCTCGCAGAAAATAGAGCTATCTGGTATTACAATCTGCCAAAAAGGGTTGTCATGGTTGGTTGCATGAAGCTTGCTTTGCAACTCTGGTTAGCAAAAGTAAGGTGACAGAGGAACAAAAAGCACTTGCCGGTGTTGGCAGCAGGTAACTGTCCAGGTAAGAGACTGTCAGGGGGAGAAAGTTTTAGCAGGGGCATACACGATGAGGCAGAAGAGTGGTCAGGTAGCAGGCTGGGGTCAATACAAAAGAATCAGGCAGAGCGACGTCCAGTAGAAGGTCGAAGCCAGAACTGGGAAGTAGCAGAGGAAAGTATCCTAATGCCATAGAGCCAGGTCTGGAACTAGCGAGATCAGCCGGGAGAGTCAGTCCGCATAGGCAGGAACACATGAAACAAGTCATGGGGGAATGCTAAGACCAAAATCAGCGATTAGACACAACAGGGTCTCCATTAAATAGGCAGCTTGAATACCCATGGATGTGCGCATCAAAGAGATGTAGTACATGGTGGAAGAAACACATTGATGGTTACAGGAAGCCATTGATTTCAGTTAAAAAGGAGGTGTGCAGTACAAAGGATTAAAATGAGGTATGCCAATAAGCCCTGGAGTCAGCTTTTTACTGGCAGTTTTGCGTGAAACCAAGTGTCCGTTTGGTTTCTCCACATTTTGTGTCACGCCAGTACAAACAAAGGAAATAAACATGTGAATGCCGAAACATTTGAAATTGCAACAATTTTCTGGGCGAAATGCGGGGGGCACTATATATATACAGTTGCAAGAAAAAGTATGTGAACCCCTTGGGATTACGTGGAGTTTTGCATGAATTGGGCATAAAATGTGCTCTGAACGGCATTGTAAGTCACAACAATAGAAGAACACAGTCTGAATGAACATAATACTACACAAACATTAGATGTTGCATGATTTAATTGCACATAACATGTAAACATTCACAGTGCAGGGAGGAAAAAGTATGTGAAGCCCTAGCTTAATGACTTCTCCCAGAGCTAATTGGAGCCAGGAGTGAGCCAACTTTGACTCCAATCAGTGTGATGATATTGGATGTGTTGCTGACAGCTGTCCTGCCCTTAAAAAACACACACCTGTTTTGGGTTTACTGGTTTCAAGAAGCACTGTCTGATGTGAACCATGCCTCGCAGAAAAAGAGCTATCAGAAGACCTACGATCAAGAATTGCTGACTTGCATGAAGCTGGAAAGGGTTACAAAAGTATCTCCAAAAGCCTTGATGTTCATGTGTCCACGGTAAGACAGACTGTCTACAAATGGAGAAAGTTTAGCACTGCTGCTACTCTCCCTAGGCACGGTCGTCCTGTAAAAATGACTGCAAGAGCACAGCGCAGAATGCTGCATGAGGTAAAGAAGAATCCCAGAGTGTCAGCTAAAGACCTACAGAAATCTCTGGCACATACTAACATTTTTGTTGACACATCTACAATAAGGAAAACATTAAACAAGAATGGAGTACATGGGAATTACACCACGGAGGAAGCCATTGCTGTCCAAAAAGAATGATTGCAGTACGTTTGAAGTTTGCAAAAGAGCACCTGGATGTTCCACAGCACTACTGGCAGAATAATACTGCGGACAGATGAAACCAAGATTGAGTTGTTTGGGAAGAACACACAACACTATGTGTGGAGAAAAAAAGGCCCAGCACACCAACATCAAAACCTCATCCCCACTGTGAAACATGGCGGAGGGAGCATCATGGTTTGGGGCTGCTTTGCTGCCTCAGGGTGACTGGACGGATTGTTGTCATTGATGGGAAAATGAATTCCAGAGTTTATCAAGACATTTTGCAGGAAAACGTACAACCATCTGTCCGCCAACTGAAGCTCTGCAGAGGATGGGTGAGGCAACAGGACAATGACCCAAATATCTACAAGTAATTCAAAAAATATAATGGCTGCAACAGCACAGAATACGCCTTCTGGAGTGGCCCAGTCAGAGTCCTGACAACCCGATTGAAATCTGTGGCATGACCTTGAGCGATTCACACCAGACATCCCAAGAATATTGCTACACTGAAACAGTTTTGTGAAGGGGAGGGTCCAAAATTACTCCAGATCGTTGTGCAGGTCTGATCTGCAACTTTAGAAACGTTTGGTTGAGGTTATTGCTGCCAAAGGAGGGTCAACCAGTTATTAAGAAAAGGTTCACATACTTTTTCCTCCCTGCACTGTGAATGTTTACATGTTATGTGCAATTAAACCATGGCAACATCTAATGTTTGTGTAGTATTATGTTCAGCAGACAGTGTTCTTCTATTGTTGTGACTTAGATGACGTTCAGAGGACATTTATGCCCAATTCATTGCAAAACTCCACGTAATCCCAAGGGGTTCACATAGTTTTTCTTGCAACTGTATAAATATATATATATATATATATATATATATAATATATATCTCAATCAATATTAAAAATATATCAGTAGAAGGAATAAGAGTGCCCTAGCTTATTGCTTAACCTAAAGTGCACTAGTGCCGGGGGGCTCCATCTTTCTAAACACAGGGAGGTTTACTGTCCTTTAGACTTTAGGAGGGCCGAAGGGCCGGACTGTGGCCAGTGGGAGTAGAAAATGTCCCAGCTTCAGTTGGGAGTAAAAATAAATGACATAGTGCTTGCAGTCAGTGGGAAGGAGCAATAGTGTCCCAGTCACTGGTATTAGTGGGAGGAATAGTGCCCTACCATTGGTGTCAGTGGGAGGAATAGTGCCCCATCATTGGTGTCAGGGGGAGGAATAGTGCCCCATCATTGGTATCAGTGGGAGGAATAGTGCCCCATCATTGGTGTCAGGGGGAGGAATAGTGCCCCATCATTGGTGTCAGGGGAGGAATAGTGCCCCATCATTGGTGTCAGGGGGAGGAATAGTGCCCCATCATTGGTATCAGTGGAAGGAATAGTGCCCCATCATTGGTGTCAGTGGGAGGAATAGTGCCCCATCATTGGTATCAGGGGAAGGAATAGTGCCCCATCATTGGTGTCAGGGGGAGGAATAGTGCCCCATCATTGATGTCATCAGTGGAAGGAATAGTGCCCCATCATTGGTATTGGTAGTCAGGGGGAGGAATAGTGCCCCATCATTGGTATCAGAGGAAGGAATAGTGCCCCATCATTGATGTCAGGGGGAGGAATAGTGCCCCATCATTGGTATCAGTGGGAGGAATAGTGCCCCATCATTGGTATCAGAGGAAGGAATTAGTACCCCATCATTGGTGTCAGGGGGAGGAATAGTGCCCCATCATTGGTATCAGAGGAAGGAATAATGTCACATCTGTGGTATTAGTTGGAGGAATAGTACCTAATTGTTTATATCAGTGGGAGGAATAGTGCCCCATCATTGGTGTCAGTGGGAGGAATAGTGCCCCATCATTGGTGTCAGTGGGAGGAATAGTGCCCCATCATTGGTGTCAGTGGGAGGAATAGTTCTACATCATTGGTGTCAATAGAAGGAAAAATGCCCCATAGTTGGTGCCAGTGGAAGAAATGTTGCCTCCTTGTTGGTATCAGTGGGAGGAATAGTACCCGAGTGCCAGATAGAGGTAAGCAAAGGACTGCATTCGGCCCATGGGCCGCAGTTTGGAGACCTCTGTACTGGTGTATAAGTTTAAAAATCCAAAAGATCTCTAATTTAGACAAATTAGAAGCCTTTTATGTACTATTTGGAATACTAAAAACAGCAAAAAAGGACAATCTTTCACGGCTTTTTCCACAAGAAGTTGCACAATACATTTTATGCTATGATCTTCTGATTCTTTTCTGTATTGCTTTTTTTGAAACTATGTTCTCAATTTGTTGATGTGTATTATTATATTAAGCAATGAAATGATTCGATCATTTCTGTTTTCACATTTTTTTATTTTTTTTTTAGGACAGGATAATGGATTGCCATATTTCTCACAAGCCTTCTCCATGATGTCACATGGGCACTCCCTCATTGAGCCCGGGTTCACATACATGTGGTGCGGTATATTACATGTGATTCGCACAGAAACCACACCGCATTCCTGTGCGGTGCGATTGGAGTTGTACATTTTGTATGGCTCTAATCACACTGCATCTGCACCAAAAGTGCAGGACCCTTTTTTTTTTGGTCCGCACTAGAATCAGATCGCATGGGTATTCACACCCATACTATCTGATCCTACACATTGCACCGCGTTTTGCGGACCGATTTCAGGGCGTTGTTAACTTAACATACACACCCGCAGCGGTTCGCATGAACGGGGTGCGATTCTGATGCAGTGCGGAATTCTCACAGAAAACGCTGTGCATTCCGCACTGCATCAGTGTGAACCCGGGCTGAACTTCTCTTATAAGATAGTACTGGGGTAGATTTACTAATACTGGCGCACTCGGAATCAGCTTCTGACTTCAGTTCGTTAATTAAGATTTGCCAATAAAACCTGGAAGCGGACTGCTTTCTCTGCAGAAGTGAACCTGATTTTTCACTCTCCAGTTTTAGTAAATAAACCCCATTCCATGTACAGTAGTCATCTTTTTTTCAGTCTACAAAATGTAGCTGATCAGGATGTTCTTGGCTGCATCTCTTCTTATGAAAATACAAGTTTAAAGTAAAGTGAGCTCTAGACACAGATTTTTCCTGTATTGTCATGTTCTAGATGTAGAAATATTAGGGTCTCAGAGTCACGTATGTAAATTGCAGTCCTTACCTTTCAGCTCTGGAGTCATTGAGCGTCCAAATTCATCCGTCCGAATCTGATCAATCAGATCCTCACCTATAGAGAGAAGAATAAGATTCATGTATGATTGAAGCTGACCATTCACATACACAAAACTAAACATTAAAAATACACTATATTGCCAAAAGTATTGGCCCCGCCCTCCATATCATGTGATTCAGGTGTTCCAATCCCCTCCATGGACACAGGTGGATACAATCAAGCTCCTAGGCATGCAGACTGCTTCTACAAACATTGGTGAAAGAATGGGTCGCTCTCAGGAGCTCAGTGACTCCAAGCGTGGTCCCGTGATAGGTGGCCACCTGGGCAATAAGTCCATCCGTGACATTTCCTGGCTACTAAATATTCCACGCTCAACTGTTAGTGGGATTATAACAAAGTGGAAGCAACTTGGAACAACAGCAACTCAGCCACCAAGTGGTAGATCATGTCACATGACAGAGCGGGGTCATGCTGAAGCGCACAGTGCGCAGAAGTCGCCAACTGTCTGCAGAGTCAATAGCTAAAGACCTCCAAACTTGGTGTGGCCTTCAGATGAGCCCAACAACAGTGCGTAGAGAGCTTCATGGAATGGGTTTCCATGGCCGAGCAGCTGCATCCAAGCCTTCCATAACCAAGTGCAATGCAAAGCGTCGGATGCCGTGGTGTAAAGCATGCCGCCACTAGACTCTAGAGCATAGAGATGTGTTCTCTGGAGTGACCAACCAGGCTTCTCTGTCTGGCAATCTGATGGACGTGTCTGCGTTTGGCAGTTGCCAGAAGAACGGTACTTGCCTGACTGCATTGTGCCAAGTGTAAGGCAGAGTCAGTAGTAGGGATGGGCTACATGTTCGACTTGAACATAGGCCGTTTGTGTGTTCATTGAACACATGAACTGTATGGGCGTTCGGTGGGCTGTTCACCCGCCGTGCCCCACAATGCATTGCGCCCTGACAGTGCATTGTGATTGGTCAAAGAAATACACCTGACCACAGGTCAGGTGCAATGCTTTAGCCAAATCACAGCGTGTGATGATTGTGTTCTGAATTAGTGTATTGAACAGACAGTATATCGTTGCTATCGTCTGCATTTTATCATTTAAAGTGTATTAATAACCAAGAATGAAGATGTAATATATTGCACCTTAGCAGTCCTCAGGTGGAGTGGCTGCATGAGTTTTCTTTTTTTCAGGGTTTCAGCCGGTGATCCTGCCAGATAGCCAGTTCACTTTTTTTATTTCACAGAGGAGTTACACTTCAGATAATTGGTGTCAATCATTATTTTACCAAGATGACTGAAAACACAAAGTCCTGTTACCTGTCTTTGTGATCTCATCCAGAACCGCCAGTAAATTCGGATGAGGATGAGGATGATCTTTCTGTAGCGCACAGAGACATTCCCAGAATCCGATCACAGCTTCTCTTCCCCGCTCCTCAATATCTTGTAACAAGGTGCGAGTGAAGGAAGGCGGGTCTGTTTTTTCCATTGGCAGGTATTTCTGGAAAATATATCTGGTTATTGTTCCAGATCTGATCAGAATATAAAAAATTAGTGCAGCGCGTTCAACAAATTAAAAGGTAATCTTTAAAACTTGTCCGTCGTGTTAACATTAGTCCAATCAGATGGTACAGATGGAAAGAAAAAAGGCGCGGATCCTTAGAAGGTCCCCCGATAGATGGTGTTCACAAGAGTAGAGAAAACAGGGGAGACACAGATCCGCCACCACACTGCTGCTGCAAAAAATGTGCTGAGAAACTCGGCTTATACTCAAGTATATACGGTAAGTCGGATTCTCAGAACAGCCACCATGCAAAAATAAATCCCCTCCAGTGACAATAAATCCCCCAGCAGCCAGCAGCAATAGACCTCTCAGCACACCCCAGCACCCCTCGCCATTACATACATTCAGTGCTGGAGGTGCCGGAAATGCGTCACCCCGCGTTCCTACTGAGAAAAAGCCCTGGTGTGAAGTGATATGGTGTACAATTATGAGAGGCATTTAAGTTAAACCGGGACTTTTGAGTTTAATAAAAGAACAAATTTCAAGAACTGGAAACTGCATTTATTTTTCTACATACTCCCCTGCTACATTTATACACTTATCCCAGCGTTTAATCTGTGGAAAGCTTCGGCATAGAAAGATTTTCAATATGCCTGAACCATAGGACAGCCAGCTTCACTTCCGTCATCAGTGGTGAAATGTTGACCTCTGAGGTTCTCTTGTTGGGGTCCAAACAGGTGGAAATTAATGGTGCACCGAAATGAAAATTCTGGTGCCGAAACCGAAAATTTTGGATGCACTTGGCCGAAAACCGAAACGGATATGGGCAGTTTTTAAAAATAAATATATCTTTTTTGAAAAAAAAATACACTTTGGGGTATATATTGTGGGTTTTTTTTATTTTGATAAATTTTTTTGTAAAATATGAAAGATAATGTTATGTCGAGTAAATGGATACCCAACACTTTAAAATTGCGCATACTTGTGGTATGGCACCAAAAACTACGGTCCTTAAAAATCTCTATGGTTGATGTTTTAAACATTTCTACAGGTTAGCAGTGTAATGTTACAGAGGAGGTCTAGTGCGAGAATTATTGCTCTTGCTCCAACGATCGTGGCGATACCTCACGTGTGTGGTTTTGAACTCGTTTACGTATGCGTTCACCATTACGAGCGAGCACAGGGAGACGGGGATACTTTAAACTTTTTTCTTTTTTTATTTGTTTATTTTTTACACTGTCCCTTTAAAAAAAGAATTAATTACTTTTATTCCTAATCACAAGGAATGCATGCATCCCTTATGATAGAAATAATTAGTGACAGGTCCTCTTTATGGAGAGATTTGGGGTCAATAAGACCCTACATCTCTCCTCTACAATGTAAAGCATTAGATCAAAAAAAACATTCATCTAGTGCTTTTGTTTTTCCCTTTTTCAAATGGCCTTGTTTACAAGATGCCGGAACCGGAAGTGACATCGCTCCGGTCCTCCAAGGGCATAGAGATGAGTGAAAGCCATCTTTCCTTCACTAATCTCTATGCCCAGCGCCGGGATCGTTCGGTAGTTTCTCTGGTAAGGCTGAGAACTACCGAGTAGTGGCCGGTGGTGGCTGCGGCGGGCGGCGGCAGTATTTTCGGCACCTGTATCAGTGCTTTTTTTCATATTGGCTGACAGCCGAAAGGGATGTTTTCAGCTGAAACAATCCGGCCACTGAAATTTCGGTGCACCCGTAGTGGAAATCACAAGGTCCAGGCTGTAAGGGGGGATGTAGCAATACCTCCCACTAAGCTGCTGTACATGTACACGTAGTGCGGTGAGCGGTAGGAGCTTGTGCGTTGTCAGGTTTCATCACATGTAATGATGCGATCCAGAAAATCCTGCCCTGCCCTGTCAAAATGCAACGTGAAGGCTTCAATTCTTCTGTGCCAGTCAAAAGCGGAAAGCTGTCTTGGTACCCAGTGTGCAATAACTTTTTGAAAATGCAAATGTTCAAGAATGATTGTGTTCACCATTCCACAGAAAGATTTGTCTCTTGTGAAATTTCAGGACAAGTTATATATCAATTATCCAGGATCAGGTGTTCCATGCGCTGAATGTTCACAGGAATGACTGTTTTGGGCTGGGAGCTGCCACGGCCGGGATCATCACTGACTGATGGACAGCCATCTTTGAAACATTTACACCATTTAAATGTCTTACTGCGGCTGAGCGTCCCATCACCGTACTGTGCTTGAAGTCTTCTGTAGATATCCGTGGATTTTCCACCTTCCTTCACAAGAAACATCATCACCACACGTTGTTCCATTCACACACTACCATCTTGATTAATGGTCTCTGGACTGGGCCAAGACATGGGCATCACTTATCAGTGGTAGGACACACTTGCCACTTACTACTGTGTGTAGTACCGCCACGCTAGCATACCCTATTATACCTGGAAAATTAAAAGTCCCGGTTTGACTTGAATGCCCCTCGTATAAAGGACTGGGGTTACCCATGTTTACAACTATTTACTCAGAGTTCCCCTTACATATTTTGCTGTAGGTCAGTGCTTCTCAAATAGTGGTGGGCGCGCCCCCCCGTCAAGGGGGGCGCGGCGCAGTGCCTCCGCCGTCCCCCCCCCCTTCCGACAGAAGGGACACTAAGTACAGGGGTGGGCAGAGGGCTGCAGTCTCTTACCTGGCTCCCACGACGATCCATCCAGGAAGCGCTGCTCCTTCCGTCACTCCGGCCACTCCCTCACTCCTGCCGCTCGGCTCCGCCTCCTCACCGGTGATTGGCCGCCAGAACTGTAGCTCAGGAAAGGTACACAGACGGCCAATCACGGGTGATGAGGCGGAGCCGAGCGGACCAGCGAAAATCGAGTGAGGGAAAAGCCGGTAAGTGTGCAGTGCAGAGGTGCTGTTGCAACCACATATGCTGGCTGCAGAAGCACCATACTGCAACAGGGGTCAGCAAGTGTCATTGGTGTCAGTGGGAGGAATAGTGCCGCATCATTGGTGTCACTGATACTAATGATGGGGCATTATTCCTTCCACTGACACCAACGATGGGGCACTATTCCTTCCACTGACACCAACGATGGGGCACTATTCCTTCCACTGACACCAACGATGGGGCACTATTCCTCCCACTGACACCAATGATGGGGCACTATTCCTTCCACTGACACCAACGATGGGGCACTATTCCTCCCACTGATACCAATGATGGGGCACTATTCCTCCCACTGACACCAATGATGGGGCACTATTCCTCCCACTGACACCAATGATGGGGCACTATTCCTCCCACTGACACCAACGATGGGGCACTATTCCTCCCACTGATACCAATGATGGGGCATTATTCCTCCCACTGACACCAACGATGGGGCACTATTCTTCCCACTGATACCAATGATGGGGCACTATTCCTCCCACTGACACCAATGATGGGGCACTATTCCTCCCACTGATACCAATGATGGGGCACTATTCCTCCCACTGACACCAATGATGGGGCACTATTCCTCCCACTGACACCAACGATGGGGCACTATTCCTCCCACTGATACCAATGATGGGGCATTATTCCTCCCACTGACACCAACGATGGGGCACTATTCCTACTTATAACAATTTTATAGACAAATGATACTATTTACAGTCGCGCGGGGGGGGCGCAAAATGTTTTCTTCTTCCTAGGGGGGGCATGACAGAAAATAATTGAGAAGCACTGCTGTAGGTAATGCTGTATCTCTTTCTTACGTCTATGTTTAAAACTTTCTGAGATGCTAGTTTATCCAGGACAGAATGAGGTTTCATATTCTCCAGGATGTAGATCAGATCATCTTTGTAATACTCGTATATCCTCCTCAGTGTTGGATCGTCATACGAAGACAGCTGAGGGCCGATCCTCTCAATGTCCTCTAGAAAAACACAGAAAATACACTTTCTAAAATTTCCTAATCACACAAATGCTGTGAATTATATTCCAGTAAGGACATTTTTCTAACTGGATCAATGCCTTGAAATTGGGGCTACGTTACAATTTACGTTTCTATAAGGAGCACTGAGAGGTGAGAAACACTATAAGAATCATTACATTCATTGTTCTGTGATTGGGGGTTTATATTTGTACATCCAAATTATCTATGAATCCTCAGTAAGAACTATTGAGAACTGGTATTAAAATTTCCCGTGACATTGTCAAAATTTTAAAATCAGTTATAATAAATCGCCAATAGTTCGCTCAGCGCTGTACATTACAAAGGGGGACAGAACATGTGACAGAACAATACCAATACAATGCAAAACATGAGGGGATCGAGGGCCCTGCT